TCTTCAGAGGGTCCAACTGTTAATGCTAATGTCTCCATGCCATCAGTGTTCAGAGGGGAAGAAGTGGTTGAATTTCCACAGGAAGAGTTACCTGTTAAACTGTCTCAAGTGCCAACCCCCCCAGATAGTGTGAATCTGGCCAACGATTTTCCAGCGCATACTTTTGAGCCAGCTGTGTTGTTAACACCACCGAGGCAGAAGAGCAATTCAGAATTCTCTCCTCTGCAGGATGGTAAGCAGGCTTCTTCTAAAGTTATATGGAAGTCCTTTTTTATGTTTCAGTTATGGGATGTATTGTGTTCACTGTTACCTGAAAAACAGAATTGAAAAAAACATTGATTACCATCCATTATCTTTAAGCTGAAGGAGGAATTTTCGGGGTGGTTTATATTATGTGTGTTATACCTATGGTGAAGTGTGACAGTTAATTTCACTGTATATCTATTCCATTAAATATCGTAAACATAAAACTCATATCAAAGGATCAAAGTCCTTGGCATGAAGGTCAGAGTAAGGGGAATCCCCTTTGTCCCTATAGTCCAGGAGGATATGCAGCCGTAAAAAAACAAGAGGAGATTATACTCCCCAGAATAGTGAAAGTTTGACCAAGGTGAGAACTATGACTTTAAGGATTTTGTAAGTCACATCTGGTCATTATATTAACCTTTTTCTCATCAAAAGTTTTCAGCTTAGTCAGTTGAGGGAATTTTATAATGAAAGTTGATAGACAATTAAAAATAGTTTTAGAGTTACTTTTGCAGCCCATATGTAGAGTTTTGAATAAAAATGTTAAAAATTTATTGTTAATCCTTAGCTTAAAAATTCTTAACTTGAGGTTTATGAATGGTCTTCAGAAGTTCCATGGACTGCTTCATTGCTGCGAAAATTAATTTGTCCACGTGTGCATTTTTCTGGAGCTATCACTTTCATTTTATTTTGAAAGAGTTCTTCAGTCAAAAAAAAGCTAAGAACTTATACCTGAGACTCTCCTCCAAAATTTTTCAAAAAATATTATTCAGCCCTGATTTTAAGTTTCATCAATCATGTATTTAATTTCTAAGCCAGAGCCTTTTCTTATTATCTGATTGTCCCTGCTCTTTTTCACTGTTGCTTATTGTGAATGCAATATCTTCCAGAAACTCTCTTCTGAGTATACCAGTTAGAATTTTGTTACATTTTCTTCTATACATGAATTTTCTTTCTTTTCTTCCTGTTCTGTTTACTTTTTTCTTTTGTGTTGCTGGTTTTCCTCATATGTTTGGTGATCCTTTATTGTCCATTTGTACGAGGGTACTTCCAAGAAGTTCATGGAAAGATTTGCATTATCTTTTAACTAGGTTTTTCCACGAACTTATTTAAGAATAAATGACTAAGTTGAATGTTATAGGTAGCCTACGTAAAGTTTCTCTTCTGTGATATACGTAGGTCTAGTTCTGTTTTCCCAATTGGATTTTCCTTTCATAGTTGTTTTGTGTTTATGAGCATGGTACGTTAACTGCAGGCTTCCTTTTACAGTGTGTGAGAAGGATACAACCATTTAATTGGGGCTACCACATTTGCTCTCCCCAACCCTGTTTGTTTGCTTATGAGAATGG